GAAGAAGAAGAAGAAGAAGAAGAAGAAGAAGAAGAAGAAGAAGAAGAGAGACAGCTTGTGGTTGGTAGTGCTGCTTTGTGGGTTGGCAGGGTGATTTATATACTTAAACAATCTTAAATGTCGGATTCTTGCATGCGAACTCGCACATCTCAACTCTCGAAAAGTCGATCCTCATAGATTCCCCAGACATTCCAGACACTGTCCCGGTTCAGTTCACGGCGTATGTAAAGATACTGAGGTTTTGTTGTGGATGGCTCTGCCAGTTGCTGAGGTACTTGCACTATGTAGCGCGGCTTTTTCAGTCCCGGCCTGCCCCAACAGCACAGGAGCAGTTTGAGACCCCGCCCCTTGGTGGGAGTGTAGTACGGGGACAGGACCGGAAACTGGTTAACCCGGGATGAGGAGCCAGGAAGGAGCGCTGTTTTGAAGGCATCCAAACAAAAAGAAGATGAAGAAGCGAACAACTCTGCAGCTCCAAAAAACAACAGCACAATCCCAGCTGAGGATGCAACACAGTTCCTCTTCTCTCATACCTGACTTACTGGGACTGAGCCTAGAACTGCTGATGTGATTTGAGCACTCAAAAGCATCAGCGGCGACTCGCCTCAAGATTTCCACCTGTCTGATGTTTGGTCTCGCTGCCGAGGGTCTCGTCAAGTCCTGCAAGGATTCCGGAGGATGGTCTTTCTGGTTGACCTGGAAGGCACAACCTGTGTGGGTAAAACATGGACTTTCGCCGAGGTATCACGATTGGCTTCAGGCGCCCTTGCAGCCCCTGCAAGACAACCTGGAATCTCAGACGCCCGGGAGACCCGGTCTCGACTGATCCGAGCGGCTCTGCGCAGATTCGGATTCGGACGATGCAATAGAGAAGCGTGTTTGCCCCGCCACATGGTGTGTGTCCCCCAAGACTTCAGCCCCACCCAACACCTCCTTCTCAGGTACTCAGGGCGGTCCCCGATCCACGGTGGACGCGAATCGACCTCTGAGGTACGAGACCTTCGAAAAGGACCCCGTGAAGTGCCGGACCCACGGGACCCGCACGCGTCAGGTCCCGCTGATTCTTCGCCAAAACCGTGTGATCCACACGCGGTCACCGTGGTCTCAAATGGGATTGGTGGTGATTTCTTTTTGCACCACTCATGCCAGGTTGCAGACTCTGATTTGAACCTGCGCAGTTGAGTCCGACAGAACAGGTGTACACAATTATATGTAGTGTAATGGAATGTAATGTAGTGTAATGTAATGTCATGTAATGTCATGTATGCTCTTACTATTAATTTTATTACTATTGTTAATATAGTACTAATAGATATTCTTATTTTTTCCAGGAGATACACTGGATACAGTGGTCAAACGTCATTCCACATCTGAATAGTAAACGCGTCTCTTCAGCAGTTCGACCTGGCACTGTGGGGACAAGGTACGTGCAGTACGAGGAGGCGATCCACCGATGCCTGCAGGACAGCAGCGGGAAGTGCTAGAGGCAGCGTGTACGATTAAGAAGTCTTTAGAGACTTTGCATATATTTTGTGATGCACATTTCTGAGGCATAAATGGCATAAAGCAACAACATTCCTAAATTGAGCACCAATGTTTCCAGTGTTTGTTCCAAACAGATTCACTGAAATCAATGTAGGTTCACTTTTGGGTCAGGGTCCGACATGGACAGACCTGCTCGTTAAAATCGGTGACACCCTTCAAATGTCCACCTTTGGTTGAGACACAGGAATTTCGTGAATTGTGATGCAATATTTTGACGCTACTAGGGGCTCCTGGCCTTACTACTAGGAGTTACTGTACCAAGAAGCTACAAGGAACAAAGGGCATCGTTACTAGGAACAAGGACGCAATATTTTTGAAGAATGGCAGCAGGACTTGATTTACGTGGCCAGTGGGCTTTCGTTTCAGTGCTCTGATCTCTGAGCATCCAAAAAGTCTGGTTGATCCAAACGCATCAGATGTCCTTCCTTCAGTGAGGACAAGCTGGCAGCCGGCAAAAAGCAACTGGTCGCCGGGAACCCCGGCATGGAGGATTCCAAAGAACCAAGTGTTGCCCTATGAAGCTCTAACAAAGTGTTGCTTTGACCTGACAAGTGGCCAAGCAGTTCCAAACACAAAAGAACATGGAAGCTTGCTTGGCACATGGCAACTCGCCCTATGCTGCTATGCTTGTTGAGTGCAACTCGTTGGTTCAAGAGGTGAAGGGATTTCCGGCTTTCCGACATGGTGTGAGCCGGTGTATATATATATATATACTACAAGACAGGTTCCCTGAATCCATTTCTGGTCATCAAGTCAATTTGGGGTATGTGTCCTGCTGAACGAAACGGCTATCTCCAAGAAGTCTGTGCCGGCCCCACGGGAGAGCCGGATGGGCAGACGCCAGCCTCACAGACAGGGCGGGCGCCAGCATTGGAACTCCTCAGAACTGCAAAACTGAACGTGCTGTCTTGCATGACCTTGAGATCGAGATGAAGAGCACAGGGCTTTACTTCCAGACGCAGAGAAAGCAGTGGGCTTTTCTGTGACATGGTGAATAGGTTATACACCGTAAGTTCACTTCCGCTCAGACTGGGTGGGTGGTTTGTGGTGGGAATGGTTACCCCACCTGACTCATACTGTTGGTGTTCACCAACCACAGGAGTATGTGTACACCGTATGTGCACATATTTACATACACACGTACAGTTCAATTTTGTCTATGTGAATGTGGCTATGTGGGTGCGCGTGCAGATGGGCCAAGGCCATGGTGGTGGGCGCCGGCCGCGGGCCTCTGGTGGTGGCCGTCGGGGGCCTTGAACGAGTCAATGGAAGGAACCTCAAGCAACATCAACATCGCTCCAACAAACATGTTTTTGTTCATGGTCCGATGGTTTACGTTTTATCCCAAAAGCAGTCTTCCACTTGAGAGATTGAACAGGGAACTTGGTATTGAAGGACCAAACCCTCTACGAAAGAGTCTGCCTGGGCAGAGTGCTTTCCTCTGCAAAGTGAAACTCAGGAGTGTTTAGGGCGTTCATCGTTTCCCAACATCTCGTGGACAGCATCCTGCAGAGAAAGCAGGTTCCTCTTTCTGTGAACTTTAGATCCATGATTTTCTGGATATTGCAGGCGATATTAGATGCAGAGACACGTTTGAGACCCATTTTTCACGTCTCAGACCAGATTTGTTGAGACCGATCACAACCCATTTAACTCCAACGAGAGCCACCCTGGAGAAACCTCCCCGATTTGACAATCTGCAGCCAGGTTCGAAGTGCTGCGGTTCGCGCAGGAGAGCGGCCCCCCTTGGCCAGAGCAAGCGAGATCGTGGCCAAAGAATGCAAAAGACATGTTTCAGCATACAGTACTCTCCTCAAATGAGTAGCTCGGCATGTATATCAACACTTGGTTTGAAAAACTAGAACTTGCAATCACAGTGCGGGAGTTCAGTTTCCGTATCCCTGTGTATATGACTTGAAGTGGGGAAGCCAAAAAGATATAGGTCACCAGTGCGACATGAATCCCAAGTAAACCATGTTCACCACAAGGTTCCCTTCTTAGATCCATCCCAGAAGCCTTTCCGCAGTCCATCCTTCAAATCGCTGGCTCTGCCATGCAGAGTCCACGTATGTCATTGAAGGAGTGCAACTAATCACCGAGCCAACAACTTCCTTGTTCCTAGTAGCTTCCAGCTACTATAGTAGTAATGGCCTCCAACCTACTAGCGATGGCCTCCAACCTACTAGCGATGGCCTCCAACCTAGTAGCTTCTTGTTCATCAGCATAATGCCTTCATCAAGTCTCAAAGCGACTCCTCTATGTTCCTCATCAATTTCACCCTCATTCACCAATTCTGGACAGCGAGCCTGTCATTCGGTTGCAAACCATTCGTGTTGGAGGTCTCCACTCCCCATGTTCTCTTTCTTTTTCCTATCCTTTTTGGTCTTCAAACTGGACCAAAAGACTGAACCAGCGCGGTTGTAATGTAGCCGGTAGTCTTCTGCCGAATTTGATCCCATGAGGTCGCCCCAGACCCTGAGACTCTTTTGACGGTTTCAGCTTCCCTGCGAGCCACGCGAAGATCTGAGCTGCGCCGCGCTGCGTGAGGCGCCCAAGTGAAGATCTGGGCGGTGGAGAAGAATCCCAACGCCGTGGTCACTCTGAGGCCGGGAAGACGGAACAGCAGCGCGCCGCCGAGAAGCCGACCGGACGCGGAAGCGAACCTTCCGTGCAGGCACCGCTGCGCGGTGGAGGAGTGGACCAATGTGGAGGCGAGTTCGAAACGAGTTCGAAAACGCTGGAGCGGGGTGAGGGAGTCCCACTGATGGGTTTGCATTGATCTTACTCTTGGCTTACCTTGTCTTATTCAATATCTGTATATGTGTATAGTTTGTATCGATCTATATAACTATATATGTGTATAATATGTGTATATACGTACATATATATATATATACGTGATGGCTCAAGCCTTCTCGGTTCAAGGATCAGGACGCCACTTTTCGCTTTGGCACTTCGCGTCTTCGAGCACACCATCCTTGACGAGGAGAGAGGCACCTTCTTCTGACTCTACCTTCAGAAGCTCCCATGGACTGGGCCACGCGGACTTACCAGATCTGCACCTCGGGTACCTGCAGGAACTGGATTTGGGAAGACAGGATCCAACCTGGATATACATGCCGGCATTGTGGAGCGGCTTGGAAGCAACCAACACAAGGAGCGGCTGGCAAGACCTCCAACTACCGGCCAGGGAGGAGATGGCAGACTCGGCAAACGAGATCTTTGACCCCTCCTCCAGGTCTTCCACATGCTAGACCACCCAAGCCAGGACGCCTCCAGAAGAATGCAGCGGAGATCTTAGCTCCAGCATGGGACACCATGGATCCAACCATGAAGGCCAAGCTCACCGAATTGGGCATCAATCCGACGCCCAAAACAACTGAACCTGACCTCACGGATGTGCTCAAGGAGAATTTGGCCAGCCTTCCGGCACCTGTGAAGGAACTGGTTGAGAGAATCACCAAGCCACAACCAGAGTCAGAAAAGGAGATGGCCCAGAAGCTCAAGCAGCAAGTCTCCACTCTGAGGGACATCTCGCATCGGAAGCAGATCCTGCAACAGAAGATTGACAGCACCAAGAAGCACTACCAGGACTTGCTTGATGAGATGAAATCTCTACAGACCAAGCTTGAACTTGAACAGAGCTCCCTTAACACCATCAGCACGGCCTACATGACCAAAGTCAGCGCCATGCAGATGGAACAACCACTGCAGCCTCTGGACACTGAGATGAAAGACTCAGTCCCCGAGGCAGTTTCTGGTTTTCTGAGCACACTTGGACTCAACCTCACCCAGGAGCAAAAAGACCAACTTCATGTCATGTTGAAGAGGCCATCAAACGAGGCTGATGCTGAGGAAGAGGCCAAACGACGCAAGACAGCACCGGGCAGCCAAACGTCGGGTGGGTAACAGCCCATCCTCAGTCTCGGCCTGTGAACAGTCTACTTTGAAGATTGATTCATGGCACCTTGTCCATGAACAGGGGACACCTTCACATGAGTGCAGGGGTTTTGCACTTCATGTTGAATCACCTTTGCAATTAGGCTCAAGCACGAGCCGCCCTTTTCCACCTTCGGGCTATGGGCCCTGCCGGCGACACACTGGCGGCCCCAAGATCCTGGGGGGGGCGATTTTGACTACTTCCAAGGCGGCACCGCGTCAGGCGGATCCGGAGGCACCGAGCTCACCTACTTCAGAGCAGCCCCGTCAGGGGACTGCTACTTTCGGGACCTCCGCCATCCGAGCCTTGACCAGGATGCTGCACACTGTGGATGAACAGGACAATCAAATGTCCTTTGAGCAACAAACTCTCTACAACTTGTGCGTGCAGGACCTGAACACCTCGAGTCAGGCCTATAGCAATCATCAGACCCTACACAATGGGCAGCAGCTGCTCATGGACCTCAAACGCATGCAGAACCTGGTGCACAAACACCTTCAGGTACCTGGCGAAGTGGAACACTCAATGGCCAACATTTTTGTGATCTCCCAATGCCTCACCAGCATTCTTCACAATCCCAAGAACAAGTGCTTTGGCAATGCACCTTGGAGATGCTGGTGCTGGGCGGGAGGCTTTGCTGAAGACGCAGCATTGGCATGGGGCAGAACACACCGAGCAGTCCGACAATACTTGTCTGATAGCGTGCCCCAACTCCTTGAAGGCCTTCATGACATGCACCAAGTCTGGGCTCCTTTCAAGGCGGATGATCAAGCTGATGCGGCAGATTTCCTGCATTCCTTATGGTCCTTTGCGGGCAGTACCTTCTTCGAAGGGAGATTCTTCCATCGGAGCACCAGAGGACAACTTGAAGAACGAGAACAATTCCCGCTCAACCTACTCTTCCCCGATGATCCGGCCTTTGCCACCCTGGACGACCTCATCAATCACTGGGCTGATGAGGGCAATGGACAGTACCTGTATGGGTCCCCAGGGGGGCTGGTCTTGAACCTGCAGCGGTCCACCCATCATCAAGGGCAATGGACCAAGCATCATCGAGAAGTTGAAATTCCCACGAGACTCAACATCCCCTTCTCTGAGGATGGCATCAATGTGCACTATGCCTCCTACCAGATCGTGGCAATGGTTTTGCACCAAGGCGAAGGCCATGAGAATGGTCATTACCAAAGCATCTTGGCCATAGACAATGCCTACTGGCTGGGGGACGATGAAACCTACCCCACTCCGATTTCCTTCATTTCGCCTCAACAGATGAAGGAGATCTCTCAGGTCTGGCTGGTCCTCTCTAGCCCGGCTGAACTGGTCCCTGACACGGCCATTGAGATTGCGGAGACTTTAGCCAAGAAGCCCAAGAAGGCGCAAGAGGTTTTGCAGTTGCTCTTCGGCAATGTCACCTTCTTTGGCAAGAAAGTACAGGACTGGATTTGGACAAAGGCGGACACCATCTTGATGCTTCAAGAAACCCACCTGCAGACAGCTAGTCTCGATAACACCATGCAGTACTTCTCCACCAGAGGATGGAAATGTCATGGAGTGGCAGCCGAGCCCACTGGCAATGGAGGCTCAACGGGCGGTTTCATCACTCTTCATCCTGCCCGACACCTCACGACTACACCAAGCAGGGCAATGGATGGACAGCACTATGTATGGAGCGTCAAGGCCAAAACATCTATCTCGTCCAGCTTTACCTCAGAACTGGCGAAACCCTGCAGTCTACGCTGAATGCAGACATCCTCGGACAGTTGCTTCACTTCTTGGACCATCTCCAAGCACCATTCATTGTCGGCGGCGACTGGCAAACTTCCCCGGAGGAGCTGGCGGCAACCAACATCCCCAGCAAGATGAGAGCGCAGATTGTGGCCACCACAGGGCCCACGACACTTCAAGGCAGCCACCTCGATTTCTGCCTTGTCTCCATCTCTCTGGCCAGTTTCGTCACCTTGGAAGCGGATTGGGAAGTTCCTTGGAAGCCGCACTGTGCTCTCTCTCTGCAGCTGAATTGCACCACTGGGGCCGTGCCAGTCCAGCAACTTCAGCGGTTCCCACCCATCGCAAGGGTCTACCAACTTCCGAACAACTGGACCTCTTACAACGAAGATGATGGCCCTTTTGAGATCATTGGGCAGACCATCACTGGCTTGGGTTCAGACTTTGCCAGGTGGGCCACACAGACTGAGAAGTACCTGTGTCAAACCTTGCAGAAGCCAACCACGGGCCGAGGATCAAAAATCAGGCTCTTCCAAGCTCCCTTGATTGACTCCTCCAAACCTCAGGTCTGGAAGAAAGGCAGTGCTGCCTACTGGGAGAGGATGGGAGTCCGGATCAACGTGGCTCAGCACAAGAGACACCCCAGCGTCCTACATGATCTGCGACAAATGCTGGAAAGGCTTTCCCATCACGCCTCGAAACAATTGGATCAGTCACACTTTGCTGAGAGACTCACCCAGTGGACCTTTGGAGCGGCCATTGATCCTGCCGAGCTGCAAGACACAGTTCATCAGGAACAGGAGAGAGCTCAACAGCAACTTCTTAGTGCCACCAACCACGAGTTCAGAGAGTGGCTGGAAAAGGCTCATGACAAGGGCCTCAGGGGCCTCTTCAGAAGTCTACGTCAAAAAGACCATAGCTGGAAACGACCCTTCCAGGACATACCACATACTCAAAGGATACCAGCCCGGGAACAGCAATGGGGAGAGATCTGGAAACCGCTTCCGGCCCCATGCCACATCAGAGGCATTCAGGAGTTGCGACGGATTGCGCAAGCGGCAGCTGCCCAACTACCTCCAGTTGACACGGCTCTCCTGGGCAAACTCATGAGGAAGCTCCCCAACAAGGCAGCCGGACCGGATGGAATTTCTTACGATTTCCTACGGCATCTCCCTTATCCGGCGGTATCCAGGTTGGCCTCTTTACTCACCGAGATGGAGCGCTCGGCTGAACTTCCCATCCAGCTTCGACACACCAACATTGTCATGATCCCAAAGAACGAGCGCATCGAGAGACCCATTGCCCTTACATCTTGCCTTTACAGGCTGTGGAACTCTTACAGGAAGCATGAGCTTCATCGCTGGCAGCTGTCTTTGGACCAGGATATGCCATGGGACTTTGCACGCCCTCACAAAGACTGCCTCTCCATTGCGGTCGGGCGAATGTTGAAGGCTGAGATTGGCAAGCACCAAGGCATCCACACTGTGACCTGTTTGGCAGACCTCACCTGCTTCTACGACACAGTGCAGCTCGACCACCTCATTGAACCAGCCGAAGAACTTCACTATCCACCGCTGCACTTGAAGCTGGCGCTTGACCTTTACACGGGCCCGAGGCTCATCCAGGCAGAAGGCATTGCAGGCAATCCCACCTACTATGAGAACGGCATCCTTCAAGGTTGTCCTCAAGCTCCGGCAATCGCTAAATTGGTCCTCTTCCGGCCTCTGCGAGACTTGGTCCAAACTCACCCCGCCGTTCAGCTGCAGACTTGGGTGGACGATGTCTCCTATGACATCAAAGGCAGGGATCCAGACTACGTTGCCCGTGAAGCCATCTTGGCTTTCCGCACCCTGAAGCAACGCCTGGAGCAGGCTGGACTCAAGATCAACTCTGACAAAACCGGGTTCCTCACCAGCAGCAAGGAGGCTGCAAAAGCCCTGGACACCATCCTACAACCAGGAGACCCTCAGCGCCACAATGTTCTCCGAGACCTTGGCATTGACGCCACAAACTCTAAGCGGAGAAGGGTCGCACAGATCAAGAAGCGATACCTCAAGGGCAGAGGCAGGGCTGGGATCATGATGCGCCTCAAGCTCAATCCCAGCATCAAATACAGGCTGCATCGAGGGGCCATTCATCCAGTGATGACCTGGGGCGCTCAGGCCAATGGGCTGGCCCCTCAAAGAAGACAACAAATCCGCGTCATGGCTGCCCGGGGTCTTCGCCTCCAGCGGTCTGGTTCTGTTGATGTTGTCTTCGACATGCATCCCAACAAACCAGACCCAGGAGACTCAATCATCCTTCAGCACATCCACACGGTCTGGAAGATTTTCCATGCCTTTGACGACAGTGCCCAGCACCTCTTTTGGATCAGCTGGAATTCAGCCTTGGACATTCTCCTCAAAGCCAAATACAGGTGGCAAGTTGTGACTGGTCCTCTCCAAGCCCTACAAGCCTACCTCCTTGATTATGACTTCGACATCTCAAATGGCAAATTGTGGAAGAGAACCGGTTATGGAGGCATTCCTGACTGTCATCTTTGCCTGACGGATGGTTGGCCTGAGATCCATCAAAAGCTCCAAGAGGAATTTCGCTGGCAACGGCTCCTCCGCCTGACAAGGCATGTGGGTTGCCACGATTTGGAACGTCCTTTGGATTGGACGGTCAGCAACACGCTCCAGAAGATCTCCACGGAGCGCTTCAACTCTGCCCTGAGAGCCTTCCACCAAGGCACCTTCCATGGCCAGTCAGGCAAGTGTCCACTGTGTGGTGTTGAGCTCACCTTCATCCACCTTCTATGGGAGTGCACCTTTTGGGATGGCAAGGTCCCTGCCCTTCCGGACCAATGGCGTGAGCGTCTTCAAGCAGGCACAGAACCTAAGCTGTGGAACCGCGGCATGACTCAGTCCATCTTCTACATCAAAGATGGGGGAATGGCAACCTTCAATGGTGAAGGGCTCTGGGAGGCCTTAGAGGCGTGCCATCTCCCTCCTGGGCATGCTGTCTCTCTAGCCGTTGCTCCCACTTGCAGAGACCCACGGCACAAGAGATTCGCCTTTGCGATTTGCATCCACCACATCCAGTCCAAAGAGAGAGTTGGTTCCTTAACCGGCATTTGCCCAGGGGAAGCCACCCGTCTTCGAGCCCTCTTCTATGGTTTGAAGCACATCTCTCTTCACTTGAGGGACAAGGCTCATGTGGCAGTTTTCAGCCAGGCCATCTGGGACGCTTGGAATCCATGGACGGCCTATGCCAAATTCCCTGATCTCACTCAAGGTCTGGAGCATGAGGACTTTGCTCAGATCAGGTTGCTCCTTTTCCAGACCAAGGAAATGCACTCCAGCCCAAATCGACAGGCCTTCCAGCAAGACACACAGGCCAAGGCCACCCAGGCTGCTCTCCTTGCCAGGCCAGAGGAGACCCTCGATCTCCAACGCCACATCGATGAGGACACCAGAGACATCCTTCACGTGGCAGCAAGACGAATTGAGTTTCTCCTCAAGGACAAAGCTCACTTCATTCACAAGCGAGAGGAGATTCCTGACAGTCAGAAGATACCCCTTGCTACTCAGAAGAAGCAGCTGCTGGAGCAATTCCTGTCTCAGCCCAGTGCCTTGGGTCATCAATGGATAGCTTACAGATCGGGAGTGCAATGCACCCAGTGCAAGCAGCGTTTTCATTCAAAGTCCATGGTCAATGAGATCAAGGACGGCCTCGCCCAAGCTTGCACGCATGCTGTGCCGGGTCGAACTTCCAAGAAGACTCGCTTTGAGGTCATACACGATCTCTTGGACGCCCAAGGCGAGGCAGTTGAAGGCACACACCATCTACGGCTTGACAAAGCGTACCTCAGGTGCGACCGTTGCAAAGGGTACGTGTTGGCTAGAGCAGGTGAGGAAATCTTCCACCGCTTCCTGGGAGAGGTATGCCACCATGGCCCTCTCGAGGCCAGCAAATGGTTCGGGCACCCAACACATGAGATGCTCCGCACGGGCAACAGCTTGGAGTGCAACTTGTGCCACCTCCGCACACGCATCCAAGGCGAAGTGATCCACCTGACGCAGAAGCTCCGCAACCCATGTTCCAAGCCGCGATCAATCGACATCAGAACTTGGCTGGCATGAGACCAGCGTTGACCTTCCACTGCGGAAAAGAGCCGGACAAAAAAAAAATATATATACGTGATGCCATAAGTTTATTTTTTCTCCCGGAGTGTTGCAAAGGGTTCCTTTGTAGAAAGGGTGTGCATGGCAGATCTGCATTACTACAGTTCAAACTTATATATCTGCATTTGTAGGTTGCGACAAGCACATCTGCAGCTAGCAGGTGTGGTTTTCTGGAGTGGCTGCTACGGAGGTGGTAATACGACACTTGCCAGTAGTACTGCAGTAGAATTGTTTTTTCTTGTTTCAGTGAACTGCTTTAGTGCCGCGATCTTGCTTCAGTAAACATTCTTGCCAGATAGCTCATGTGACTTTCGCCGCGATCTTGTAAACACATCTGCAAAGTAGTTCATGTAACTTTCGCTCGGATCTTGCTTCAGTAAACACACCTGCAAAAATAGTTCATGTAACTTTTGCTGGGATCCTGCTTCAGAAAATTGTAAACACACCTGCAAAATATCTCATGTAGCTTTCGCTGGGGTCTCGCTCCAGTAAACATTTACAGACGTACAGTATAACATATCTGAGTTCGCGCGTGTGTGACGCATCCCGGCTCTCTCTATATCTATTCTTTCTTAGCCGGCGGGCTGGTCGGACAGGGCTCACGAAACGTGACCTTCTGGAGATTGTGCGCGTCCAGTGCTCAAACGTGAGGTGAGATGCGGTTGTGCTGGATGAACCCTTTGCGGAGATCGTGCGTGTCGTATGCTGAAACATGAGGTGAAATGAAACGGGTCTGTGACGACGTTCCTGAAATCATTCCAACCAAGCACGCGGCAGGTCTGTGATGCGAACGGCGGGACGAGAGGTAGTCCAACATGAACTTCACAGAAGCAGTCCAAGTATACCTGAAGAACTTCACCGTGTGATACAGTATACTACTATATTACAGAATCTTGCTTGGCTTGCCTTTCTTTTGCTCTACTTTGCGTTGTACCTTCTGACCTGTTAAGGGGACGTCTCGCTCTTTATGACGCATCCGTCTAGGAAAGCTCCGTGCCTCTGGGTTCAAACGATTTTGTTGCCTGAGTGAAGGAAAAGACATGAGGGCCACATGAGGGTGAAAGGATTGCGATGATCAAGCGCAGAAGGGTAAGGAGAACAGGCAGGAGAGCGAGTGGGATGGGGGGAGAGAGAAGAAAAGACATGAGAAGGCAAAGGAGGAGCTAACCCCCGCGATACGGCCATATCATGGGTAAATCGCCGCTGTTTTGTTCTTTCACTTTTTGCATCAAAGCCTTGCAGAAGGTAAGTTTGCGCAGACAATGGCACAAAATGAGTTTTCTGCTTCTTGCGACCGCACGGAACTTTCACACGCTACCACAGAACGTGTAAAAAAACACGGACTTTTGAACGTGAGCGAGCAGCGCTGGCAAAACTCATGCGCTATGTCCTTTTGGGACTGGTAATTTGTTTTGTCACCTGCTCCAGGAGCATTGAGCCAGCTTTAGAAAACATTTGCAGCGCATTATTTGCATGTTCGGGAAATGAACACATGCACTGCACTGTTGGACATGTGCCCCCCCCACACCCACGCCCACACACACAAACCAAACTTTGATTACATGATCGGACATTAACCTAATCATAGGCTGTTGGTGTTGGGAAACATGGAAGCAGCTGCAAAGGCTTTGCCATAGCATCAACGATCGCACATATTTGTCCGACCAAGTCGACAAAATTGGATTTACTTATGTTGCGCCCGTCTGACTCTGCCGAGAGCATTGTTTGCGCGTGATTGTCTCTGTCCTGTGCAATAGCTTTTCGATCACCTGGGGAATGATTTGGAAGCAACGAGACACAAAAAATATGGTCACACACACAGCACTGCACCAGGGACCATCGCATCACATTTCAAGCTGGTGAAAAAGCTTCAACTAAAGACACTTCATTCAACACCTCCGAGATACAAATTGTTTGTTTTGACGCTGCGCAGGTGAACCGCCCGGCAGATTTAGCTCCGATTTGATGAAGGATTTAGGTGATATAGCACCTAGCGGTTTTTAGTTGTTGTCGAAAACGAAGGTGGAGGTTGCCAAAGTGTTTGACTGTCGTCGAAAAACGATGGTGGAGGCGGTGGAGGTTGCCAAAGTTCGTAAGCTGTGATCGAAAACAAAAGTGTGTGGAGGTTGCCAATGTGTTGTGTAACTGTCGAAATGGGACGTTTATGGTGCAAATCTAGTACAGGCAGTGGGAGCTGTGGCTTCGCAACTTTGTAGTACAAGCTGTGGCCTCATAAGCAGTGCGAATGTAGTGCGGGAAGCAGCTTCTGGGAGCTGTGGCCTCAGAGCTGGCAACTTTGTCTTACAAATCTAGTGCGGAAAGGGGCTTCGGAGGGAAGGAGCTTCTGGGAGTAGTGCGGCCAGCAGGAGTACGGGAACTGGGAAAATTTGGAGTGCAAATGTGGCAACTTTGTTCTACACATGTAGTACGAGTACGGGTCGCAGCCTGCGGCCTCAGAACTGGTAGCTTTGTAGTTGTGATGTCGCTGTGCCATGCGGTTTTGCGCGGGTGGAAAGTCGTGTGTTTGCGTTCCATGGCCTCAGCCGGTCAAACCCCAAGCTCAAGCTAGAAAAACAGACCTGTGACAATGATGAGACCGGATGGTTGAACCCTAACCTGTGACCCGCACTTGGCTTCCTTGGCAGACTTTGTCCATCATGTTGTTGTTGTTGTTGTTGTTGTTGTTCGGCGGCGCCAGTTGAAGACAGTGGTTTGACCAACTGTATGTCCTCATATGCACTACACCACCTTCATTTTCACCGCGCAACTTGCATCCCAACATCCACCGCCGAGGTCATCGGAGAAGACATGCGCTTCTGGGACGCTCCTCGGAAGGCCAGTCGTTGGAGGTGACACCACAAACGACCAAGGGCGAAATGGGTGCTTCAGAAGTCATGGGTACGGTATGGGGTGGTCTCAAAAAAAAGAGTCCTCAATGGTTTTCATCCATTTAGTTTTGCGCCCTGGAGTTTCCTGTTATGTTATATATGACAGTTGTGGTTGCCAACATTGCCAGTTTTTCCCCCTTGTTCACCACGAGAGTTGCCTCCCCATGCCCGCGGGGGGACTTCGCCCAGGCGGACCTGATCGTGTCTGAGCTCTTGGGCTCCTTCGGCGACAATGAGCTAAGCCCCGAGTGCTTGGATGGTGCGGGTCCCCGGCAGGGCGAGGGCCCACCACCCAGGTGGGGCCACTTGGCGCTTGAAGGTGACAGACCCCATCCATAGGCGGATCCATGTGCTGCCAGTGTTTGAATGAGAAGATCAATGCGAGGCACAAAGCAATGAGAGGTCACAATGAGTCAGCCAGAACAAACAAAATGACAACATCAAATGAGACTGCACAATGCCGCCTTAGAATGGCCTCCGACAAACTGCTTTGGTCGGGTGCGGCGAAGCTCCAAGGAACATGTTCACTGGCCATTTGAGACCAAACCGCTTTTTAGAGCGAACCAAATAGCCGACCTCATCGAAAGTCAAACAAGTCAAACAACCTCAGAAAAACAACATCATACAAGTTCAAACAGCTAATTTTTAAAAAACATGTTTTTGATGTTTTTTCCTATGCCTCACACAACTCCAAGAAGGGTGCCACTTGACCTAGCCGATCCTTCTGGGTCGTTCCGGGTTGTTCTGATCGGCCAAAGAGGAATCGGATTCGAAGTGCCTGAGCCTTCAGTCTTCAACCCATCGCCAAATCTGCGAAAGATCGCGTACACGTTTCAAGGGGAACTTGGGAATCAAAGATCAATTTGTGCTGCCTGCTTGTGGTTTTGGGCAGGACGGAGGCCAGTGTGGGCCTGGGTGTCTTCTTTTTAATCCTTATCGAGCCCAGTTTTCGGCTCAAGCCAGGAGTCGTAGGATCCATCCGGTCCAACCCCTCTGATTCGGGAGCATTTGCGGTGATGCCGATCGGGAACTTGGTGGTGGCCAACCCCAAGAAGCCAACGATGCTCTGCGGTGTCTTGGAGTGAAACGACCCCTCCCCACGGGTTTCTCGGAACGGGGGTGACTGATCTCGTTCTGAAATCTGCCCAGAAGCCGATGTCATCATTCATGTTTCCATAGGTTTCTTGTGAGTACGAGAAATCAAATCCCATTGGCCATGCTTCACTCAGATGGAGAAGAGAGGCACGTCGAGGATGATTCCGAGGACGGTCAGAGCGATTCCTGCTCCCCACTGGGAAACCGTCGCCGCGTCAGCCCATTTGTATACAAGAATGGAGTGAGACGATTGCGGCGTACGGCTGCAGTGCTGGTGGAAGAAATGAGGACTGCTGAGGAAGCATTTGGGTCCGGGGCCATTTTTCATCAACCAAACAACTTAAACATTGATCGATTCTGTATCAGCAAGCCTCATAGCTAGCCAGAATCTCATGTTATTGCTTTCTCTAGGAGTCTGATGGATGACCATGGATGCACCCTGACGATGAGGCTGTTATCATCAGAAGTTCTCATCATCCTTGCCTTTGTGCCCTTTCAAGACCAAATTCTGTCAGCACTTTTTCAAAGAAAGAACTCGGAAAAATCTTGAACAGTAACAGAGACAACCGAAGCCAACAAGACCGGGGCCACACCATGAAACAGGTGCGGTTTGGAGCTGCTCCCCCTTGTGCTTGATTTGCTCCCCATTTCATGCAGAGGGTTTCGAAAGGGTCTTATAAAAGCTCCTGCCTTGCCAAATCTGCGGGTGTTTGCACACCGTGTAGAGAAACCAGGGTTAAACCCTGAATCCGGGCTCGGCTGGTCACTGGTCAGCCATGCAGGATTTGTCACCGGCTGCATCCGCATGCCAGGGAGCTTGCGTTCTGTTTTCAAGGCCGCAGGGTTGCCGAAATGTCAGGCGTTTCATTTCTCTCTCTCTCTCTCTGACATGGGGTGCACAGCACGAAGCAAATAGCTTGAAGCTGATTGCTCTTGAGTTTTCTTCTAGTCACACATGCCTGGAATAGAAGAAACATACCGCATGCTTGGCCGTCGAGCGTGCTGTTTTGCCAACGGCCAAGATCAGGTGAGGAACTAAGAGATATTCACATGGCTGCGCATGTGGGAGCCTTGTTGGTTGTTCAGGGCCACGTTTCTTTGTGTGGCCTTCCCCAACCAAGGCAGCCAAATAGCCCCAATGGTGCAGAGAAATATGATGTGTCTGATATGTGAAGTTGGGCGGTGTTTGATTTCCAATGGTTGCATCAGAGTGCCACTTGTGCCTGTTGAGATCAAGGTGCAGTCAGACAGTCATTTCACCCGGCTACACGCATTTCATTCGGCGGCTGAACATGGGTTTCTCAGATTTTTTCAACTGAGTTGGACGAGAATCAAATGAGTTGATCTAACAGGACGACAACGTGACCGAGCAGGGTTGCTTTCTTAGGGGGCCTGGTCATTTGGTCGCACGCTGCAGTGGGGTGTGTCGCTGGAGACCCAGGACTCCAAGAAACAACACAAACCCGCCCTGTTCCGAGTCTTCTAGAACAAAGCCCTTGGCTCCAATGGTTGAAGTGTAATTGGCCAAGTTTCGTCTCGGCACTTTGGTGTTTCTAAGGAGATCATCGTGCAGTTCGGTTTCTCTTACTGGATGGCGCTGGCCAGCAGAAGACCTCCACGGGCCAATCTGCCTTGGACGTTGCTCAAGCGGCCAACGAGCAGGGCTCACATGACGTCGTCATCGATTTGTTGAAGATGCCAAGCGAAGATGCGTTGCCGAACTACCTCAAAGAGCCATCAGACTCGGAGCCAGAGTAGGGATCCTTCATTCGATCATCTTTGTCCGTCCATTCGACCCGTCCTAGATCACTGCGGGCCGAGCCATGTAAGAACAGCTGGGTGGTGCCTCGGGGGGGCGTTTTGGCGCCTCACTCTACCTCATGTGAGCACCATCCAGCAACCGCAGAAAGGCGGTTCACAGTTGTCCTTTTTGATTCGCTAGATGATTTCTAGCTATTCTCGTCTCACTGAATCCCTCTGTGATTTTCTCAATCCCAACCTAGTCAGGAAAGGGTTTGCTCCGTGGAGGGTTGGCATTTGGCCTGGTGCCTCTGGTAAGATAGCCCGAGAAGAGACATCATCAGCCAGAGCCGTACGAGTCGAAAGATGGTAAAAGCCGCTTGCAGACACATCCTTCCACATCCGCACGACATTCTTTGGCAACAGGGAGCTTTTTGTTCAAGAAGCTCATGGAAGACACATCAAAAAAAAATCAATGGTCCAGGAACCGGTCTGTGTGGGGTGTGGGGTGTGGATCAGTGTAGTGGGAGCTGAGCTGCCAGTGGCTCAACCTGGAAGGGGATGGCAGGAACAGGCAAGTTCTTCGACAATGTGAACATACCTGAAATCCCTTCTTGACCTTTTTGATCCTTTTTTTGCTTTTCTTTGGACTGACACTTTCTCATACACGGGGTCTGCTTGATTTAGGCGAAATCAGAAACAAGCTGACTTCGTGGCTTGAGTTGGTACCTACTGCCAGGTTCGACCCAAAGCAGGTATGATCCAGACCGCTTTCCGGGGTCTACAGTTGTCAGCTGTGCAGACTGTTTTATTCCTGAAGCAGCAGCCATCTCAGCACCAGATGCAATATGATGGCCTTTCTCGTGGAAGACTCCAGTCACCGACGTCGCCTTTTTCCAGGTTGAAATCAAGAGAATCAAGAGAATCAAGGCCACTGGCTACTGGCACGTTTGGTCTCAAAAGGAGGGCTTCCAACCGTTCCTCCATTTTGGGCGGCTCAAACCGTCGCTCCGATTCTGCCTCGACGCCGGCGGAGGTGCCCAACGCTTCTTGGAGCCCGACGGCGCACGGGGCGCCCAAGCGAAGCACATCGGGCGTGGCACCCGCGCGGCACCTGCTGGACCTGCGGGACCTATGCCTTCGGACTCTTGAGCTTTGCACCCCCCAATGCTCTCTTCGAAATGAACATGTACGTATACTTCTACTAGGCCAAGAAGGGTCAGGAGCTTCGCTGCTGAGGCCTGCATCCCTTCAAAGTACACCTCTAGCCTCACGCCTGCCACTGGGCCGTTCGATCTCCCGCGCGAGTCGGTGGGATGGGACGTTCGATCCATTGGGCTGGAACGTTCGATCCGGCGGGCTGCTTTGGCCAACGGACTAAGCGGATTCAGCTTTGGCCAACGAACTGAACTGTCCTCTCTTGGATGTTCTGAATTAGGTACACCCTGCGATGTTCTTGGTGTTTGAAGAGAAAGGGCACTGGTCTTCCTCTTCTCAACCGCCATGCTGCAAATGCTTCTTTCTAGCTTTGGTTGTCAACGCCGACCTTCCAAGGATTGCGCATGCGAGACTCCTTCACTATAGGGCCCCAAAAGGCTCTCAGGGGATCTCAGGGGAAAGAACACAGATCTTCTTCCAATTTGGCAGTTTTTCGATCATTCGGAATCTTTCGGAGTCTTTCCGTCGGGATGCCTCCTCTTTCATCCAAACAAGAGCTGGTGGCAAGAAGCCTTCCGATTCAAACGGGAGGGAACCTCGTTTCATGCATGACCCTGACCCAGGGTCCCTGGAGCTCATAAGCTTCACAAGCAATTCGTTCCCTCCGCACCCCGGGACTTTCGGGAAAACGTGTTGCGGGTTCCAACCGTGGTGTGGTTTAAACGCCTGGTATGGTCCAAAACACACTGTGCGTGAGCCCTGAGGTGACCACGCACAAGCTGTGGAACGACGTGAAGAACTACAATGACTTGGCCCACTTTGAGACAGCGCCAGGAAGCCGAGAAGACAGCGCCTGGAAGGCGAAACGCAAAGAGTGCGAACATGGGAAACAACGGGAGGCTTCCCACACTACGAGGTTGAGCCTATTCTCACATCCTGAGAAATACCATGCATGTGGCTGCTTCGTTGGTCATACGCACTGGTAATCATTGATGCACGTTCCGTTTGCATTTTATGTGTTGCCGTTTAGCGAGAGAGGCCCTCAGCCACACCCTGGAGATGAAATTCCAATCAGTGAGGGTTTCCTCGTGACCAATTCAGATCATCAGGGAACGCATTTTTGACACCGCTTGGTGGGTCGAGTGAGTGCAGTCCGGTGTTTGTGAGATCCGGAACAGGGCCCATCGTTGGAGCTTTTCCATTGCTGCCTTCCCTGCTTTTGCGCTTCTTTTGGTGTGGAAAGCACATATTTGCTTCATTTTTCAGCGGGCCTGGGGCAGAGAACTGGTGCTACCACCTGACCTGCTGGCTCCAAACACGACCTGGTGCTACCTGGGGAGCCGTCCCCGAGTCGTTTTCGCTGCCCCAGCGGGCTTCGGTTTTCGCCGAAAAACGCACCGCGAGGTATGTGGTGAAGTTCCACCAGGCCTTCTATCCGACCTCTCAGGTTGAGCTGGGAGTCCCGGAGCTGACCATGAGCTGGGCCATGGCGGCTTTTTGGTCCAAGAGGGTTTTTGTGGAGGATAGAGCCATGGGACATCCATTGATTTGGGGTCTCATCCACATTTGAGGTCTTAAAGCTCTGAGTGTAACTCCTGTACTCACCAGAGTAGTTGAGATAGCAAATGACTTCAGAGACGGTACAATCGCAACGGGCAAATCCGCAGCCCACCGGTTCGGAGCTGGAACCGTCGCTAACCGTTGCGTAGCTGCCCGACTGGCCGGCGAAAGATCTGGATGGACACCGTGGCGCTTCCACCAAACCTTTTGCTATTTTGGGGATTCACCTTTGTCATTGAGATGCCTTTGCAACTTCAGAGATGCCAGTCGATCTCTGATTCCTTTGTCCGAGGAAGTGCTTCGAGTTTTCCCATCCCAACTGGGAGCTCAGCAGCAACGACCGGCATGGGACCCGAGTTGGGACTTGGGAGCGGGTGGGAGGTGAACTGGGACAAGCTGGACAGATTCAGCAAGGGAATTTCTTCATGCTGGTATTGACGTACTTTTAAGCGGCAGAAGCTTTTCTCCGTAGTTAGAGAGATATGAGATAAGATGAGATAAGAGTCTTTCTCGCTTCAGACCAGATGCATTGGACGATTTGTGCTTTCCTATCTTGCCGAGACATACTTGTAGGCAGGATGGGCCATGGCCGGTGGTCTCATCCTCGTGGAAGGCTCATCGATTAGGTTCGATGCCACGTGTCGCTCCAATCGATCCCTTGAATTGATGGATTGGCCGCTCAGATTTCGCGAGCGGAATCCATCGATGTCGCTCAGATATGATGTGATACATTCTTTGTCCTCAGGTACGCGCAGATTGAGTTTACCTCGGAGGCCCTCGGCCCTCAGAGAGTGTTTTTTGTACGTTCGACCAGTGGGTCTAGTTTAGAATCTTCCTTTTCAGAGGGACGAACCTTTGGGTACCTCTGAGTCTGAGCTTTTCCAGGTGAACTGGAGCAATACCCAGAAGACAGCAGACTCTCTTGATGTTTGCACCCTTTGAAGATTGCCGGACGTCAAATCAGCGCGGCGACAGAACCTGCAAGTATAGAACGCGGCACCCAGCTCTTCCGAAGCGTCACCTGCGTCACCTGCGTAGCCGAACCGATCCCTTCTCCCCGGGCAAGTTCTCCAAGGATTGAGAAGTACCACGAAGAACGCTCGTGAACGCGAGGAAACGCTGTTCAGGTGGATGCGCTCGTGCATGGCTTCGCTGGCTACTTCCACTGCGAGCTTTATGCAGGTGACGCCTTCCAGGGGGACCTGCACTCCTGAGAGTCTAACATTGAGTAGTAAGGCCAGGAGCCCCTAGTAGCGTCCTTGCTCCTAGTAGTAAGGCCAGGAGCCCCTAGTAGCGTCCTTGCTCCTAGTAGCGATGCCCTTGTTCGATGCCCTTGTTACTAGTAGCGAACATTGCTCCTAGTTGATCTGGAAAGATGGGATTTCGGAACCCCCTTTCCCGGGTGCTTCTTCCTTTCTTCTTTCTTTGTGGGGGCCCGGCCCCCAAACGGCTCCGGATTTCGCTCCGCAGGCCTTAGCGTGTCCATCAACCCAGAGAGCTACTCCGAAGGCATGTTTTCTTGGTCCGGACGCCTGGATGGGCCGAGGTCGCCCGTATGGCTGGGCACAGGTGGTGCTTAAGCCGGTGGCAGTTGGCTGGTCAGTGAGGAGATCCTGACAACCTTGGAGGGTAGTGATGAGCATGCATTTCAAGACTTGGAATAAGGTCAGCTGCGGGCACAGGGCATAGCTTGTTTTCATTCAAATTCACAGATGGCATGAATGATCATCCATCTGCGTATCCACATCATCGCAACCATTTGCTCACAAACGACACGAGGAGGAGGAGGCTTGCTAGCTGTGCTGCGTAGGTTTGCACCGAATGGTCTAGCTTTTTGTTTTATAAAATCGATTCCAAATCCGAATGAAGACTTCTTCATCAAGACTTGTGACCGCGAAGGATCGCTCGCTCGGCCCGGCCCCTGATTCTTCAGAATCCGATCGGAGGTTCCCCATCTACTTCCCCCTGCGAACACCGGTGAATTTGAAGCGCGGCGAGAAGCTCACGAGTTCGGGGCGCCCAGCGTGGTGAGCAGAGCAAGCTGAGGTTGGTGGAGGAGCAGGTGGAGATTGAAGTTGTTACTCTGTTGGTCATGTTGGTCAGTTGATGCTTTGCTCAGAAATTGAGTTAGCCCCTTTATCTCCATGTTCAGATGGGACTATAAAGTTGCTGGAGTGGCAGATGCCTCACCCAGAGTGATCATCTTGAGTAGGATTCCACAAGCCGCACTGATGGCGAGCCCTGAACATTAGAAGCACGAACTTTGTCAGGGACAACTGACAACTGTGCTAAATATCACTGAGCGAAGATCTTGAAGGGTTTGAGAGTTGATCATCTGTTGGTGCTTCGGAATTGGTGTTCTGTCTATCCTAGCGCTGGGTGGCCGGGAACCTTGGCATCACTCTGAAGGGCTTCCAGAAGGCAAGCAGGACACGTCGCAGATTCGATTTTTGCACTGCATCAATGCTCCAAGGTCACTGGTGGAGGTGTAGCAACGACCGCAAGGCTCGGCAGAGAATCCGGCTCCGCTGGGAGTGTTGCTTTGGAATGGTTCTATTTCTAATTAATGGCTATATTATATTGCAATGGTTGTATAAAAGCTTCTATGAGGGGAGCCTGCCCCAAACTTGTGGACACGGTCACGGTTTTCCTCATGAGAGGTGTGGGCCAGCGTAGGCCTTGAGGAAAGTTGGGATGCCCTTTGCGCTTTGCTCCTAGTAGCGTCCTTGCTGCTAGTAGCGATGCCAGGAGCCCCTAGTAGCGTCCTTGCTCCTAGTAGCGATGCCAGGAGCCCCTAGTAGCGTCCTTGCTCCTAGTAGCGATGCCAGGAGCCCCTAGTAGCCTCCTTGCTCCTATAAATAGCGGAGCAGCAGTGCGGTTGCTGGTGGATAGGTTGACGGGGGGGATGATGACGCGAGCTTGGTTCGTTGGATCGTTCCAATTCCGGGGGAGAGTTGGACAGTTGTGCTCCAAACCATCCAAGTGCAGTTTTTTGGATGATCTGCGGCTATTTGGTCAAGGAGATGTTGGGATGCTGAGATAGCACCCGACCCTCACCCACTAGAGATTCAACTACTGTATCCAAAGAAGATCATGTGACATTTGCTGAGACTTCTTCACGTTTGTTTGCCCATGTTTGCAGAGTTCTGGGAGGTAGACTCGTTAGCAAGCCTGGCCGCCGCAGAATGCTGCTCAGATTGTTTTCCCGGCAGGGGAGCACCCCGCAAAGAGTGTTTCTTGGAGCCTCATGCCCCCCGAGCGCCAGATTTCACGATTCCAGCTCCCCAATCATCGTTGGAAGCTGTTCCCGGTCAATCGACAACGTACAGATTACAGATATTTTTGGTCACTTGATTGGTCTTCGAAAGGGGACGCCTCCTGTATGAATTCAGCTGGAGCATGGAAAAAGCATGGAGAGCAGGCTGTTTGGTCCCATTCAAAGTTGTCACAAATGACTTGGGCATCGTCCAGATCACCGTGTCAAAAGGAAGTCGTGCACCGACTCACCTGGCTCTGTTTTGCGGTTAAATCGCAAACAGCTGATTCCCTCAAACAGATGGAACCGCGAATCTTCCAAAAAGCACATGCCATAATCATAAGATGCCCATGGTTTGCCTTCAAGGTGCTCATCAGAATCATTGGACCAGACCTCATTTGGTGTCGGAACCAGAGATCCACACCTCGCATTTCACCTGGTCCCCCCCCTGGAAAGACTCAACAAAAAGCTACAAGACCCAACAAGACACCCACCCAACAAGACTTACAACGGACAAACCGAAACTGGCGCTTGGAGAGCGGCCATGGTGAGTCTCTTGGCTTTTGGGTGGATGAAAGTGGAGGTGGAGGTATTGCGTGGGAAGTAATTTATGATAACTTATGTACAGTAGATGTATACTTACTGTATAAGTTCTAATCAGAGTATTATTGAGAAAATGCATCCATGACATGGATTGCATGTGATTTGATGTCGGTCCTTCGATCCCTATCGGTTCGAGGGCCCTTGAGCGTGTTCGATCTGAACCCCGGCTGCGCCATGGAAAAGAGCGCGTGACCGTCCGTTGGGGGGTGGCTTTTTGACCCTCGTTCATTCGAGGGTATCTACATTGCTGTGCTCTGGTTCCGTTACCATTTCACATGGTAGCGGAGCTGCCAAGCTCCAGTGACTGTTGAGGTCCCGGCCTTTCCCGGGTGCGACGCAAGTCGCAGCGCAATCCGTGCCATCAAGGTACATTGAGATTTGGTGCATTGAGCAGTGGTGCAGTGTTGACATTGACATTGACTTGCAGCTATGGTTTTCAAAGATTCGTTGAAAGACCTCTGCTTCGACGGGAAGCAAAGTGGCTATCGTGAGCTTCGACGGAAGAACAGGAGCGCGAGATCGAGTCAGGCCTCCAAGGCATCACAGGGGAGGTCCACTGGGACGGAAAAAGGTGACCAGCGAAAAGAACGTCTTCCCGTGCAGCGTCTTTTGGGAAAGTGGAGATTTCACGCGCAAAGCCCAAGCCGATTTTTCCACAGTCAGTGTTGGGACATTTGTTCATGAGGAAATTTGGGTTGTCGCGTGAACAGCGAAGCCACATCATTCGTTCCACAGGTGGTTCAAGTCGTTTTGCTGACATTGAAAAGATTCTTCGTGCCAGCGACTATGAGGACAAGATGGGTGACCGTCGACGCAAGCCTACGACGATGCAGACATGTTCGTCCCAGGAGGGACACCTATGCTGTTGAGCAAGCTGCTGAGCTGTCATCCACCTCGGTTGACCCCTTGTCTGGATTGGATTCTGGAGAAGAGGCATTCCAAGTTGAGGGTGAAGAGAACTCCCTCGGCACAGGTTCTGAGGAAGATCTGCAGGAGATCTATGAGATTCAGAAGAAGGCCAAAAAGGAGTTCAAGAAACAATTTCGCACATACAAGGAGCCCAAGAAGAAAGTGAGAGAAATCAAAAGAGCTTAGACAACCCTACATGTCCGTGGTGGCCATCCCGCCGACAGAAGGTGGTGCTTCCCAGACACCAATTGGGAGGCCACTTCATGCAAGACACCACGCTATGAGAAGAAGTCCTTCGAGAGGAAACCTCAGAAGGATCCAGAGAAGAAAACACCGAGGCGTGAGGACGCCAATCTGACGGAAGCTGTTGAATTGGTTGACAGGACATTGACCGAGTTCAGCTATGCCCCGACCGAGACTACAACAGTTGAGCTTGAAAATCTTCTGGCATCCATTCCGTCGGTTTTTGCAATCATTGATACAGGTCGTACAACGTCAGTTGTTGGTGAAGAGACTGCGCAACGATATGAGCAGGTATCTCAATGGTCAGAGTGAGACAACTTCTGTTGGTTTGATGTGGACGGTACAGCTGGGATCACTGAAGGGGAATATCACCACCTATTCCGTTCCTGGTAGTGCACCATTTCTGCTGTCGCGTCGAGTGTTGGAGGGAATGCACGCCACGCTGGATCTTGGTCGCGTGACCATCGCCTCCGACAAGCGTGGCGTGCGTGAAGTGCCTCTCAAGCAAGCGGCCAATGGCCACCTGCTGCTGTCTCTCGTGCCGCACGTTGCTGAATGGGAAACCGTCCTCGACGACTCAGCGTCCAATGAGCCCAATACGCAAGAAGACCAGGCAATTGACAACCAGTCCATCTCCGTTGATCTCGAGCACCGCCGTGAAAGAGGACAGGACTCGGACGAAAGTCATTCGCGTGTTCATGAACGAAACGCTCCAAAAATGCAGCCGTCACCGTGTGATACTCGGAGGGCGTTTCAAACTGTTTGTAAAAACACTAAGAATGGAACTGTGGACTGCAATTTGTTTCGCGCCGAACTGTCGCAGCTGTTTTCATGTCCAGAAAAACAGGTGTTGCATGCTTTTGTAGCCTATAGACTTAAACTAGAAAGGATCCCTACCGATGCCGAACATTCCTCTTTTGAAATGAAAATAGTTTCCATGGACAGACAAGGATCCATGTCCATGTCCGAATGGGGAGTTCGAGCCGCTGGAAAGGTCAGACGACCGGTCCAACCCATGCAGGTAGCGATCTTTGCATTTCGATCTATGTCAACAAACCCCGATCCCGAGATTTCGATCAGTGAAGCCGAGCCCGCTGAACCTGTCGTGCCGACGCGACACTGTGACTGCTGTTGTGCTGATGATATAGATGGGGACTGGGAATACCAAACACAGGAACAAACCCTTGAAGCCTTGTATGAAGAAATGGATTGGGCAGACCTTAATTTGCAGGAAGTCCCACACGAGACCCATGAAAAACTGAAAAAGACGAGCTCGAAGAACCGGAAGAAGACATATCCGAAGGACCATTAGCCGATGGTGATCGACATTCACCAAGCCGCATTTTGAATCCAAGGCAGTTGAGCCTCACTGCACTCGTGCGGAAGTTGCATGTGAACACTGGTCACGCCTCCGTTGAGCAGATGCTGAGATTGGCAAACCGATGTCAAGCCAGTCGAGACACTTTGTAGTTTGCGCCCGCAACTTCCAGTGTCCTATCTGTAATGAACTCAAGCCCCCACCATCGCATAGGAAGAGCGCGATCCCTCACGCAGAGAATCCAAACGATATAGTGGGTATTGATTTTGTTCAAGTAGAACTCAAAAGGGAAGGTCGGAACGGTAAGATGACTGAAATAAAGCTTAATGTCTTGACCTGTGTAGATCTTGCATCCGGATTTGCTCAGCAGATCATCGTCGAGCGTGGCCCGAATCAGCTGTCACAGGCATTTCAAGGTGCCCCTAAGATCATTTTCTTGGACCGGGCAAAAACAAGCCTGTCCCAGGACTTTCAAGAGTACTTGAGACACCATGCTATTCAACTGTTGCATGCCGCAGCGGAAGCACATTATCAATTAGGTTAGGTGGAAATAGCCAACCGCATCCTCCGAAACATGGCCAATCGATGTTGGCCCAGTACGGATAGATCCCCTGAAGAAGTCATTGAAGTGTGTGCAACCACTCGCAATGAGCAGCTTAGGAAACATGGTTTCAGTCCTGCGCAATGGTTTTTGGGAAGGGA